TAAAAGTGAGTTCAGGTATTCTCTTTTTTCAGCCTTCCATGTTCAAATCAACAAAAGAGAAGTAAAATCACATTACATGACAAATTTTTATGATGAGCATTGTATGTGTATAAGTCTTCACACGGTCCCTGATCTGTTTTATTTTCCTCTGTAGGTTCTATTGATTCAATGGCCCTGCTCTAGTTGCATCTTACGGCTGGATTTCAGCCATAGATAATATTTATACTTGAATAAACTTGTTTCTAAGGTCACTTTTAAAATGTATTAATTGCATGCACACAGATGTTGCACAGATGTGGCAAAGCTCACCAGATGTTTATTTGATATGGTGTGATGCTGAAATAACAGCATGGTTATTTTATCTTTCTTTATATATGCAGAATTATCTGCTTTACTTATCACTGGGAGATGAGAACAGAAATGTAAAAAAGTTGTCTTTGGATGTGCAATCCAATGCTACATTTCAGTTACAACTGAAAACCTTAACAACAACCTTAACAACATTGCCATTTAGGCTGTTGTAACAGAACTGTAGTATTGTTTCAACAATACATTTCCCTTCAATGTGCTGATGAGAAAAACAAGGTAGCACAGAACTATGATCTTTATCTGAAAATCCATGGATAAAAGTCAGAAATAATGTCAAGTGAACTAGGACACTACTGTGGAAAAAATAAAGGAATAAATACCTATTTATGAAATGGTAATAATAGCTGTACAGTTAATTTTTATTCTAGAGGAAGCTATGTTAAAAGAATCACATGTAATATCCAGAATTTTCAAAAGTCAAGGGTCATAGTATGTTTGCTTGCTTGTTTTTTTGCCTTTTCTTTTCTTTTTTTTCCAGAAGAGAAGCTATAAAGCAAATATTAGAAAGTTGGAAGTATGAAGAACACTAGAAACAGAAGATAGCAATCTTGTTCTGGCTGGATTTTTCTAAATATGTATAAGCATTTATGTCTTCACCTAGAAACTAAACTATTCCATTGTTTTCTAGCTGCCATGGGAGATCTCAAGTTAACTTTTTTTAAAACCCTTTTGCTATCATGAAATGGCATGATACAAGCATTCAAATCACAGAATTTTACTGGAGTTGTGAGTACTAGATGACTGCAGTTTTATGAATGCCCAAGATAAACTGTAGGCTATCTTGGGACTGAGCTATGAACTAATAGTGTAATCCATACTCAAAGACAGTACTGTAGTAGGGTTAGAAAAGGTAGAAGCCTCTTGTGCTGGCATGATCACAGATCTCCCAGTACAACTGGATTGGCTGGCATAATTGCTATGCTGCCTGAGATCAGCCATCAGAACAACAACAACAACAAAGGTCCAAGAAGGGGAGGAGTGAGGGAAAAGCTGAGGTATGCCAGATACAAACCTTGCCCAGCCCAACCCAGCTCAAATTCACAGCCATAATACTGGCATAAAGTTACACAAAGATCTAACATGTTGAGAACATCTTCCTACAACCACTAGATAATAATGTTGATCTGGCTGCAGTTGTCTTGCCTAATGTGTCAACTAAATTTCATCCCAACTTCTCTAATATGCGGATTGCCACATTTCTGTGTGCCTCTGTCCCCAACGGAATATGAACCTTGGGTCTGAATGCAGGGCACCAGCAGTTAAGGAGGAAATGCAGAATGACTGGCAACCCTTTATCTAACAAGGTTGGGGGAGATATTCCAACCTACACCAGCAGTGGTATAATCTGAAATCTATACCTCTGAATTGAGTTTTCAGCTTTATTCTGGAACTTACTTTTAACAAAAAAATCTAACACACATCTCGCCATGATTTTTGAAATTTTTTTTTTGTTCATCTGTAGTGTCCAATGTGGTAAAGACCTGTACAAGGTTGAAAGCCAGTTTCTGTTTGTGATTTTTGCAGTGGTTTAATAAAAATATCACCTACCCTTTGCCTTTGTGATTCATTTCATTTAGTGATTGTGTTACATCACCATGCATTTTTTCTTCTGTTGCCTTTATTTTTACCTTGATTTCAAAAAGAAATCTAATTCCATTGGAAGAGAAGAACTGCATCAATCAATACCTGGATGCACACAAACTTTCACAAAGACTATACCTCAGACTATATCGTAGCTAGATCCCTTGGTGTGATCCTACAAAACATGCCATCCATTTTTATCACCTTGACATTATCCTACCATAAATCTTTTACAGCATTTTATGGGACAAGACGGAATTACCTTGCTATGGAGATTTGCTTCATCAGTTGCATTTAACTTAGAGATATGAAATTAAGTGAAAATGCAGTGCTTGCATGCTTGATTAGAATATATGTAGAGAGAGAGAGAATATAAAATTACATTAAAATGATGAATCTAAATCCACACTGTTCTGACAGACACAAACATATACTTGCTGGGCTTTGAAAAGTGCAATATATGATTCCTCATGGAGACTTCTTAAAAATCCTTGATACTTGCATCCCTACAAATCCTCAACTTCAATGTTGATTGGAGATGGGTACAAATCAGAAATATGGTCATTCATTTTGATTCATGATTCATCAAGGTTGACAAATCATGAATAATGAATGTTTAATTTTTTTTCCTGCTGAATCGATGGATCAATTTGTTGATTTGTTTTTGCCCTTAAAACCCCTTGAGTACCTAAAGACACCAGATTAGCAGGGATGCTTCCCCTGACTCTCTGCTATAATCCCTCCAGGTTTGGTGAAGATTGGGTTTTGGAGGTCCGAGTTATACACCCACAAGGAGGATACCTAGGAAAGTTTTTTCCCTCCCAGGACCTAGAGACCTCCCAACGTTCATAGATCTTACATTCCAGGTTCCTATGCAGTATTCTTCTTTGCAGCATTGGATTTTCCTTTCACTTCCAGGCACGTCCACAGCTGAGCGTCCTTTCGGCTTTGGCCCAACCACTTCATTAGCTCTGGAGCTACTTAGTTTTCACCTAGTTGGTGAAAACCTAGTTTTCACCAAATTTGGTGGCACAGTAGAGGATAGTCAGGGATTTTGTGATTTTGGTGACTCTACTTGCCTGGGAGAAATGTTCTTTGGGAAACCTTCTTTGTGGGTGTATAACTCAGACATCCAAGACCCAATCGTCACCAAACCTGGAAGGATTGTAGATGAGAGGGAATGTTCCTCTGCAATTTTGGTGTCTCTAGATGCCTGAAGGGCCATTTTATACCTGGAGGGCCATTTTACAAATCGAAATTCACTAAAAGTTATTTGATTCTTATTCATTGGGGGCATTGAGTCATACAAATAAAAATTGAAGAATTAGCAATTTTTGAATGAATTTGGTGATACATTTTTTAATTTGTGCTCATCTCTAGTAAGGATACAATGGATCAGTCTAACAATTTTAAACACTGTTGTCATTCTAGCAGTATGTACTATGAACTGAAAATGCAGCAAACATACAGAGAAGGGAAATCCAGTCTTCAGTGTCATAGGGAAAAACAACAGATGGCCCAAAATCAGTGACCCAGTGTGGTAGCAACTGCCATCAAGACAGTTGTCACGTTACTTATTTCCACTTTGTGAAGTGTCCTCTTTCTACAGGTTTTGCCAATGCTCTGCCTTCATGGGAGCTATTTATTTAATTATTGACAATTCTTGAGCCAAGTTAGTTCTTGACTAAAATAATCCTCCACATACACATCTCTAAAAAACTGTAATTCTGTAATGTCTCCGATTGTGGCTTACAGAATTGTATCAAGACCCAAATGATCACTTCACCCATTGATTGGATTTATGACAAGAGGTAACCATCCACAATACCTGAATATTTTGAATAACACTGTAGGGCAGTGATTCCCAATCATGAGCAACCCAGTTATTCCTGGATTGCAACTCCCAGAAATCATGGTCAACACACAGTTATTGGTGAGGGCTTCTATTAGGAAAAAACACATGGGCTACCCAAGGCTGGAAACCACTGTTCTAAAGCCTTTTCCCCTAGATTGTCCAAAAAACTCTGAACTGCTACTCTGCTTGCCCTATACATTTCTATCTTTTTTCTGGTCTTTTTCCCCCAATCCCATTCAAGCCATCTAATTGTTATTGTTTGGACGTGTCAGAAACACTAAAATATTGTTCCCCAGATAATTTGTTCCTGTATTCAATTTATTTTTCATTGTTGTAGCATTTCAATTTGAGCACTGCAAGAGCAAAAAAAAAAGGTTGGACTTACATTCGTAATCAAGTCATAATCATTGGGAAGAAAATCTGTAGATCCTCTTTCCTACCCATGTTGAAATGTTGGGTTATGGGGTTGCTGTTCATTAAAGAACAGGTTTGATTATATTATCACTTGCTTTAACTCCTGTCCTTTCTCTGCAGTTTTACCCACATAATCAGTTCAGTGATGTGCAATGAAAGTTGCTAATATGAGATTCATGTGAATTCTAGAAGATATAAAGATCACTATTAAAATCTGAATGCTGAAGGAATACCTTTCAAAATAGGCCTTATTGTAGCTTATTATCTTCTTAATTTAAGCAATTTAGCACATTTACTGCATTTTAAATCTGTTTAAACGTGGCTTCAGTATGTTAAGTGTAATGCCAGCACAGTCTTTCCTAGGTAACATTTTTCTTCTGAACTAGTGTTACGTGCAGTGAGCAAAAAGGAAAAGAAAAGGTAGAATTTATGTCCTACTGGCAACCTGGGATTGCTTAATATAACTACCTGGGAAGGCTAAATGTGTTACAATGAGAATATGACATTGCAGGGCGGGTTCTGGAGATGCTTTTTCAATTTAAGAAAAACCTAGTCGTATATTTGCCTAAAGTGCAGTTATATATGGCAGATGACAGCAGCAATCAATCTTTTTTTGTTTACAGCCAATAGTAAAGACTTGAAATGACTGATGAAAGTTAAAGAAGAAAGTTCAAATGCATGATTACAGTTGAACATTAAGACAACCAAAAAAAGACCACAAAATAACAATATAATTTTTATGCTGACAATAAAGAAAAAAAATGCTAAAGATTTTCTATACCTTCATTCAGCCCTCAATTTCAATGGACAAGGCAGCCAAGAAATCAGTAGATTGAACCTTTGAAGGGCATCTGTGAAAAAGTTAGAAAATGCAGTTAAGGCTTAATATTTGTTGCTGGATACCAAGGCCAAGATCACCCCTATGGTACCTTTGATTATCAGGAACAGACGTCCAAACTGAAGAATGAAGAAAGTTACAAAAAAATTTGATGCATTCAACATGTAATGCTAGAGAAGAGCTCTCAGATACCATGGCCCACCAGAAAGATAAATAAATTCTAAATCAAATCAAGTCTGAAATCTCTCTAGAAATCAATATGACTAAACTGAAGCTATTGTAGCATGGACGTGTCTAGAGATGGGCATGAATTTAAACGAATCACCAAATTCATTCAAACTTGCCAATTTATTGATTTGTACTCTTACAAATCAATGCTCCCAACAAATATGAATTAAATCATGTTTAATGATTTTTTATTTGTTTGGCTATAAAATGCCCCCCAGGTGCCTATAGACACCAAAATTGCAGGAAGCTTCCTCTAATTCTCCTCTACAATTCTTCCAGGTTTGGTGAAGACTGGGTTTCAGATGTCTGAGTTATACACCCACAAAGAGGAACCTCCAGGAAAGTTCCCTCCAGGCACCTAGAGACAAAAAATCATGGAGAAGCTTCCCTTGACTATCCTTCAATTTGGGTGAAAACTGGGTTTCCCCAAGCGAGCTGCTAAAGGCCACTTTCTTGTGGGAACCCACTTTGTATAACATTGATGTCCAAAACCAAATATTCATCAAACTTAACTCCAGAAAGAAAGAGAAAGAGAGTTGGAGAGAATCCTTGGATAGTAGCTACCATGATCAAACTGTTCTTGTAAAGAAACTTATTTAGTCAACTTCTAAACTTCCTTATATGCATTAGTGCCAATCTGGGGAAGCAGAGAACAAATATTTCTCCTCTTCTATGTAATGACAGCCCTCTAGGAGTTTGAAAAGAACTGATCTGTACCTGCCTTAACATACCCAGTTGCATCAATAGTAATGGGAGTTAATGTAGCAGAGATTCATAAGTCATCAGCTTATACAAATTATGTCACTGACAGAAATGGAAACTCCAGAAATACTGTGCTGTTGTGGTGTTGAATAGAGCTACCCCTTTCAAAATCTGAGCTGGTGGTAATTCAATTTTCTATATATCCAAAAATAAGGCTAATTATTTTTTCATTCTATTAAATGAAAAACAGAAAACATCACAGTTTCCATATGATGAATATCACCAGGCATCCTATAACTCTGAATTCCCTGGCATGTTGAGCAGCTGTTAATTAGTTCACCAAGTCATTCATGATTTAGTGCTCTTTTGCCATGTCTTGATGTAATGATTACTTCTCCAAAGCAATACTTTTAAGCCAACCTACCAATTTTTGAAGAATATGTAAAAAAAATCTGTTTTTGACATTATTCAAATTAGCTTAGATATGAAGAAAATCGCATTATAACTATATATCCTTTTATACTCAAATCATAAGAGCATCAAGCAAACACTTAAAGTTATGAGCACATTTCAAAGTTATGGAAGGATTATAAATCTCACATCTGAACACTTTTTGTGAACTTGCAAATAACGTGTTAAGATAATGCAATCAATGCTAGTAACACTGCATAAAATGTATGTTAGATTTGATGGGAAGATATTGTTGACAGTTTCTTCAGGAGCATTTTTTTCCACAAACCAGCCCATCAGTAAGATAAAGATATTCAGGTCATTAAATTCTTTGTTTATGGAAAAGCAGATGCTATCCCCTCTAGATCACTGAACTCTACAATGAAATATTCATGAAAGGAAAGGTGTTGTTTATTATTAATAATCCTGCTGCTTGCTATGGAAATAAGGAGTGCATTTCATTACAGCACTCTGGAAGGCTTAACAACTTTCAGTGCGTCTGCAACTTTGCTCTAGTTAAAAATGTAATGTATAATCTGTAGCTCAGGAGCCGATCTCAGTGTTTAACTGGTAAATTGTAGAATATGATGCACTGCATTTTAGAACAATATAGCCATTTCACATTGCAAACTGCACAGATGTGTTACATTTTTATCATTAAAAGGGAAAATGCCAGGGGCATAGACATATAAAAGTTTAAATACCTCAGCAGTATTGCTAAACCCGCTTCATTGAAATGTCTTACTGTCTTCTGGGGTGGACTGTAACCTAAATACTTCACTTGAAATTGAGCTAAATATTGCCATAATTCTGCTCTGTGTAGCAGAGCAAAGTACATTTTGTATTTTAAACTTCTGCATCATGATGAGAGGGTGAGTATTTGCAGAAGAAGGAACTTTATTAAAGGGAGGAAACAACTTGCACCAAACATCTTTTACAGAATTGGGTCCAGCTTGACTATGAACAGAAATAGGATTTGGCAGAGTCAGGCCCTGACAGCCAGTGTTTGTTTGTGGGCAATTGATCCTTTGCAGACCCAGGACCTTGGAGGGGGGGCTGCTAATTGAAAAGTCCATAGCAGGACTGGGCACTTCCAGGTGAGGCACAACACAGTTCTTCTCAGACCCTGGCTCTAGTGGGCACAGACAAGTCTAAAACAAGGTCCAGCTCCTGCAATGAGTCCAATGGGTTAACACAGTTGGGGAATTACATCAACCCCCAAAGTTTATAGATACAGCTTGTGTGGGAGGCCCCTTGAGGAAAACTGCCAGAGGTTTTGCAGGCAGGAGGCATGCTGCCCTTTTGTGGCCACACCCCCTAGTCCTTGGGCTCTGCAAGAAGGAACATGGGTGTTCAGGGAGAAACTGCTGCCTGAGATGGCTGGGAGTGGAGGCAAAGATCAGACTGAGTGGCTGGCTGGAGAACCCAGGGCTTAAGATGGGAGAGAAGGGGGCCAGCCGCTTGTCTGTATTGTTTCCAGAAGCACTCAGTGTCTCTTTAGCTTTCCAGATGCTTCCTCTCTTGGAGCTTCACCCCATCCCATTATACCCTGGCTTCTTCCTTAGGTGACACCATCAGCTCCCCTTGGGATGGATTGGCACAGACTTTTTCCCCTTCAAACACCACCAGCCAGGTCTCTGTGTCTTTCCACTGTTCCTCCCCTTCCAAGTCTTCCAGTTCACCTTTTATCTCTAGCTCAGCCATTCCCACAGCTGTACCTGCAAGGGAAAAGTTGGTGTTCTCCCTAATCTTGCCCCAGGATCTGGGTATAATGTGCAGAGAAAGAATGCCTGTTGCACCCAACAAGGTGGTTTGCCCATGACACTGGCCAGGGTGGCTTGGGCAGGCTCAGAATTTGACATAGGGGATGTCCTTGCTCATGTGCTACTGTTACCACTGAATGCCTGAGCCAGACTTGCGTATTTAAAGAATCTCACATGTACAACAAATTGGAGCTCTGCAAATGAAGGTCTAGACACTTAATGAAATGAAGAGGCATGGAAAATGATCAAGACATGGTAAAAAGAGACTGGATACCTTAAGTTTAGATATATGGTAGGACATTTTTGGAATGTGCTTTCCACAGAAAGAGTGTCTGTGACCCTCTCTTCGCCTTGAGGACATGTTAATATTTCTCTGTCCAATGAGCCTTTGTGTAATTTTTATCTACAGAGGCTGTCTTGTTTATGATTTTAATGATGCATGTACTGGAGATTTCTTTTTATGTTGTTTGTTTATTTTATATTTTACAGTATGTTGTAATCCACTTTAATGAGAGGCTTTCTCCAGAAGCATAGGCTAGATATCTAGCAAAATCACCATCATCATAATGCAGACTTTTAAATAACTTATTTTAGAAAATCAAGAAAAACTGGAGAGCCTCTCATGTGGGGTAACTTAACAACAATTAGCTGAAACTCTGTCGACATAACTGTGCCTGAAAAAGGTTAAGGCATCATGAGCAGGGGAGATTTTTGATAATGAAAGACTTCCCGCTTTCACCCCACAACTTTTTGATGTGAAAATAATCCCTTTCATTGCATGGAAGATGTGGGAGCCACAGGATAGGAGGATGAAGTATTTCATTATTGAAAATTGTTGCCACTGATTGATTAACCAGCTGTCAGGGGTTACAACAGCAGAGTTTGATAAGCTAGTCCTATGTCAGGAATTCAGTGAATGCAGAGCCAATAACCAAATACCAAAGCCAACTCACACAACAGGGTCAGAGTACAAAGCCAAGGGTCCAGAGAACAAGGTTCAAGGTTGTCAGGAGCATGGATGCAAGCCAGAAGTTTAACTCATTGCTTCCATGGACTTTCAGCCGTCTGAGAGCTGCTTATATAGTAAATACAGCCCTTGAACTGGTGGAAGCCTTTTCATCCTGTCAGAACTCAGGGCTAGTTGTTCAGATGTTTCTGCAGGCAGCCTTCAAGCGATCCTCTGACCTTTTTGTCATAAGTCTTCCCGAAGCCTGGCCCTCAGCCTGTCTACTGGGGGAGGAGAATCTGGAGGGGATTCAGGTGTTTGTATTTCTAATTGCTCAGCATTCTCTTCAGCTACAGTTAACCCTTCAGGTTCTGGATCTTCAGCTGCACTCATGACACCAGCAGGAAAAGATGCACAGTAATGAAAGGTTCCCTCTTCCCATCCTGTAGCTCCATCCATGGCTTCCACATGGTGAAAGGGACTGTTTGCAAATTTAAAAAGCTGTGGGAGGGATGGAGGAAGTCTTCCATTATAAAATAATCTCCATCTGCTAGTGATGTCCTCACCCTTCTGCAAGTGTAGCTACACCAAAATGATTTCAGATAATGTGCAAATATTTCTCCTAATCAAGGAAGTGATAAGTTAGGACTTGAGCAAAATAAATCTTTATTTTTTGAATGTAGATGCAGGGGATTTGAAACAGATTGCATGCATTCTTGATTTAGATTATTCCTCCACTCCACAACTATGCATATTGCATTGCCCATATATTTTAATGAATTGTTTGCTTCTATGAATCAAGTTTCAGGTGTCACACTGAAATCACAACAGGAGGTGAAAAGTTAAAATCCTCCTTGCTCCACACTCCTGATTAAGATTGAATCCTTTAAGCAAAGTGAAAATAAAGGGGGAAAGAATAGCTAG